GAAACACTGCATGAATTGTCTTATTGTATACCATATGTAATATAAGCACACTAGAAGCCCAGTGCACAAAATTCATGCTTGGGTGTGGTCTCTAGGCCTGGCCAGCAATCAGGGCCATTTGGGGCCAGACCTATCAGGGCCGGGCTGGCGAGGAGGCAATGGTTATTGGGTTGAGCATGGAAAGAATGGACACTGGATGCCAATGTCGCTATTGTCAGCTCCCCACCACCATGTGGTTCACTGCCTCCCCCCACTTCCCTTGCTGCTGAGCTGCCACCATGGTGGGTGGGCAGTGGGCCAATCAGGGCCTACCAGCTGGGAGGAGGGATAGGGCATGGAGGCATGGAAGGTTGGCCACCAACTCCAAGGAGGGAGCTGGCTCTCGGCCCCCCTGGGAAAGAGGTCATGTCCCCCGCCACCTACCCCTGGTTTCCTGTCCCAGCCCAGGGGCAAGAGGAGAGGGACAGGGAGGTTGGCTGGCCTGGGGAGGTTGGCTTTGGGAGTGCACTGATCACCAGGGGGCAGCTCCTGCTTTGAACATCTCCCCCTGGTGATCAGTGCACATCATACTGACCGGTCATTCTGGTCAATTAAACTTATATATATATACATACATACATATATATATATATATATATATATATATATATATATATATTTTTCAGTATTGGAATTAAAAAAAAAAAAAAAAAGCCCAGGCCTTCACCACACTATCATCTTATCATCTGTGTCCATGACTCATGAATATATTGATAGATTAAATAGAGAAGGTAGACCAGAGACCAGGATGGCAGGACACACACAGGCTTTATTGGAGGGAAGGGTACCCCTGCACACTGCTTCCATGGAGAAGAGTGGAAGAGAGAGAGCAAGGGGCTTACAAGTACCTTTAAGGATAGGGGGCGGGGCTTAGGGCACTTAGCACACGCTGATTGATTAGGGACCTAGGGACTTAGGAACTGGGGCTTAGGGTATTTGGCAGGTGCTGATTGAATGGGGGCTTAGGGTATTTGGCAGGTGCTGATTCAGAGCTCAGGAATGTCTGGCTGCAGGTGGGGTTTACTTCTGTCCATCAACTGGAGAAAAGGAGGATCTCTCATATATATTCTTTGATTAATCTCTTTCCACCCCACCCCTTCCTTCTGAGATTCATCAGTCTGTTCCATGCTTCCCCGTCTCTGGCTCTATTTTGTTCATCAGTTTATTTTGTGTGTTAAATTCCACATATGAGTGAGATCCTGTGATACTTGTCTTTCTCTGACTGGCTTATTTATTTAGCTTGGCATAATACTCTCCAGACTATATCTTCACATAGAAATTAGACACTCCATTGTGTGAAAATTGCTACTGAAATTTCAGTCATGCACACAGTCTCACTGGTTGTCTTTCAGTCCATATTTTATATTCTTGAGAGAGAATGAATATCTGATCATTATACTTTGGTTGTATGTCCACTGCTATTCAGCCTCTAAGGCCCATGTCAAGAGGCTAGGGTCACACTTTGTATGTATGAGCGAAGCAGGAATTTTAGGGGGTTATAGGCAGGCTTACAGATTTCTCAGAATTGGGGTCCATGGGAAAAAGCACAGGGCTGCAGACTGGGAGAAGGTACATTTCCATAACACAAGGAAGCCAGGTGCAGTTACATCTCCATAAGACAAGAAGGCAACAACAGGTATTTTTACATGAGACAAGAAAAATGGAGGTAGCCAAGAAAGGTCACATTTACAAAATAAAGAGAAAGAAGCCATTCAGAAGGAGGTGGAGAAAGCACAAAGGGAATAGGAAAATAATAGGGAAGGAGGTGGGGAGAACCTCACTTGGGAAATTGAGCCCAGGAGTTACTATAGTAACTAGTCTAAGGGAATAGTGACCAATCAGAGGGGTTATCAGGCACCAGGATCTGCAGCCTTTATAATAAGTCATTGGGAAGAAGAACCCAGTGGGACTCTTCCCCTTCCTCACTTGGGAATCAGTTCAGTGGGACCCTTTCTCCTCCCTACTTGGGAGTCTGTACTTGTTCTTCAATAAATCACCACCTTTCTATACCACTTTCTGTCTGTGGATTCATCCTTCCATTCTGGTGGATAAAGAATCCGGGTTCCAGTCCAAAACTCTGGTATCATGAACAATGTTTTAAGGTCAGAGTGCATTTTTTAGAGAAGAAGGGATATTTCATGTATTACTGACAATGAAAATAGTGCTTCTTTTAAATAAATGCATATTTAAGGGAATTTTGTAACACATTATATTATGAATAGATTGTTTTTCAGAGCTAAGAGTACGATGTCTATGAATTGCATAGGTATGATTCTTAATTGAAACTTTAAATTAGTGAAATGTGAGCTCTTATTAGAATATAAATAAATGATTATCCCAGTCAATACTGGTTCAAAAATTAAAACTTTGCCAAACTAATTTGCCAAACTAGAGGCCCGATGCACAAAATTCATGCAAGGGCTCAGCCCTAGCTTTGTCCGGAAAGTAGTCCAGAAGGATGTCCAGAATTAGCATATTACGCTTTTATTATTATAGGTTGTTGCACAATTTACCAGGTGACCGGAAAATATGCAACCAGTACTGGAGATTCAGAAAAAAAACTTTTATTTAAAGCAGAGCTGCTGGCTCAGGGGATTCGAAGATTCAAAGCCTGAACCCCCTATACAATGAGATTACTCCTTATATATTCTTTGTTTCCTATCTGTTTCCTAAATACAGGGCTTTTGTGGTGGGCTTTCACAGCCCCTCCTAGTCAGTTAGAATGGGCAAGTTAGATTGTATCTAAATGCCTGGCCTGGGTGGTTCAAGCAATGGCCCCTCTGGCCAAGCTGCCAAATTCCCAGCTCGTGGTCCCTGCAAACTGGGAGCACCCAGGAAGACAGACTATTGCCTAAGGAAGGGGAGTGACTTAATTATAGGCTAACAGGAATGTGCACTAGGACACTGGTCACTGGCACAGATTCAGATTACCAGCCTTCCTCCTCCCCCCCCCCCCCTGCCTTCCCCAGATTTCCCCCTATATTCCTCATTAGAAGTGATATTATATACAGGATATACAGTCAGAATTTGATAACCTATTCTAAAATGGCTTTGTAGCTACCATAAAGAGATACAGAATGTAAAAAACAAGAAAGAAAGAACTTTAGCAATTATTTTTTCCTAGCCAATATTTTTGTTTGCTTGTCCTTATTTACTTACATGATGGAGATCTGTGACTATAAAAAGAGTGATTTTTTCTTTCTTTCATATCAGTCATTTTTGTTATATTTAAAATTTAAATTTTATACTTAAAAATGCTTACTGTTAAATTATAAAGAAAATCACTCTTACTATATTTTAGAATTAATCCTGAAAATACTTTGCAGGATTAAAAAATAGTATTGCCCAGTCAGTTTGGCTCAGTGATTGAGCTTCAACCTATGAACCTATGAATCCCAGTCAGAGTACAAGACCTGGTGTGGGCTCCATCTGCAGTGTGGGGTAAGCAGTAGGCAGCCAATCAATGATTCTTTCTCATCATTGATGTTTCTATCTTTTTTTCCCCCCCTCTCCCTTCCTCTCTGAAATCAATAAAAATATATTTTAAAAAAGAAAAAAATATAGTGGCATTTAGTAAATGTCCAATAAAGAAGGTAAATTTCATTGTTATTCCTCAATGACAGACAAAACAAGCAAGTTTTTATTCATTAAAATTCCATTCATGTTAATATTCTTTTATTTATTCAAAACAGAGAAACACTGATTTTTCCTGTTTAATTCATCAACACTTTCAATAAATACTTGCTTTTAGCTCCTTTATTACCTTTTGATAAAAATTTTAATTGAAATTAGTTTGTCATTAATTAGAGCGGATATTTGTGTCAAGAATTTCACCAAACTTCATATCAAATAATAATAGAAAGCAAAAGTTGTGTTTTCTGAATGTGCTCAGGCACCAGGAGTGCTAAAGCTGTGACTAATGATTACTGGTTCCCGCTGTGTCTAGCTTACTTTGGTAATTAGCACTCCCACCTGTTTTCATTGTAAATGAAGGGGTCCTAGTGAGTCACTTAAAGGTGCTGAATAAATGGATGATCTGTCATTATCATGTCCTCTTTTTCCAAAAAAGCTCAATTAAAATGTGCATATTGCACAGATTAAGTGAATAAAAATATGCTTTCTGTAATTAACTCTTTTTTATCCTTACCCTAGGATACATTCACTGATTTTAGAGAGCAGAAGAGGGATATATATATATAGATAGATAGATAGATAGATAAATAGATAGATATATAGATATAGATATATAGATATAGATATATAGAGAAAGATGTTAGGCACATTCTTGTGCTCCATTATATTCCTCTTGGGGCTCTTGCCCCACACTGTAATTGACCTGTTATCCTCAATGTAGGTTTCATGGTTAATGGCCTTTGGCTTCAGTAAACAGCTTCACCCAGTTTCCAGTGGACTGCCTACATCAGCTGTCACCCTGTGCCTCATCAACCAGTTATTCTGAGTGACCCTTACAAGAGACATTAATATCCTACTCCCTCTACTCTGCTCTGCTGATGTCATTTGGTCTTAGCCCTCTTCTAGCAGATGTAATAATCCTATCTAATAAAGAATGATATGCAAATTAACTGTATGTCTGCTACACCCACAAGCTATGCCTACCAGTCAATCTGGAGCAAGTATGCAAATTAACATAAACAAGATGGCTGCGGCCAAGGAGCAAGCAGGAGGCTTGGTTTTCCCCCGCCATGGAGGAGGCCAAACTTCCAGCACACCCTGGCCTGCCCTTGCCTCCGCTCAAGGCTACAAAGTTTCAATTACAGAAGATAAATAAATCTCATGTACCAGGGCCTCCGCTTGGATCATCAGGGAGCATGGGTACTGTTGGTAGGAATGCAAAATGGTGTAGACACTGTGCAAACTGGTATGTAATTTCCTCAAAAAATTAAATAATGGAACTCAAAGGAATTTTTAGGGATGAAATAGGCAGGTTTTAGGAAATTTTAGGAACTAAGGAGTCTATGGGGAAAAGCACAGGGCTACAGAGCTGCAAAGGGTGTATTTCCATAAGACAAGAGAGCTGGGAGTGGCAGAAGTTACATTTCCATAAGATAAGGGAGCTGAGAGTAGCAAAAGGTACACATCTACAGAATAAAGGGAAGGAAGCCCCTCCTTCAAAGAGGGAGGAGGAAAAACCCAGAGGGAACAGGAGAACAATAAGGGAGAAGAAGGAGGGAACCTCATATACTTCACATGAGACCTGAGCTTAAGAGTTGCTACAATGACCAAATCAAAAGGGGAATAGTGACCAATCAGAAGGGATATCAAGGCACACAACACTGCAGCCTTTATAAACCTTGGAAAACGGAACTCGGTGAGACTCTTTCCCCCTCCTCATGTGGGAGTCTGTGCTTATTTCTCATTAAATTTCCACCTTTGCTATGCCATTTCTGTCAGTGGTTTCATTTTTTGACTCCACTAGACAAAGAGTCTGGGAAACTATCCAGCCCATGGGAACACTGCCAGTCCAATTTCCCATTTCAGAACTGCCTTCTGACCCAGCTATCCCACTTCTGGGAATATATCCTAGGAATCCCAAAACATCAATCAGAAATAATATATGCACCCCTATGTTCATAGCATTATTTATAATGGCCAATATTTGGAAACAGGCCAAGTACCCTTCGGTAGATGAATGGGTAAAAAAGCTGGGCTACATTTATACAGTGGGATACTATATGGCTGTAAAAAAGAAGGAACTCTTACCCTTTCCGATAATATAGATAGATCTGGAGATTGTTATGTTAAGTGAAATCAGCAGGTCAATCAGAGTAAGACAAATATCACATGACCTCACTTACAGGTGGAATCTAATGAACTAAATTAACTGATGAACAAAATAGAACCATATGCATGGATGCATGGAATACCACATGTGTCAAACACAAGGCCCGCAGGCCAAATCCGTCCCGCCAGGCCTTGCAATGTGGCCCGCACCGCGCTGTCATCACTGCACTCCGCTGCATTTCCATCACAATGACAGTTTATGACTGTTCAGTAAACCATTCGGCCCGCGATTTAGGCTGGATTTTAGATTTTGGCCCCTTCTCTGATTGAGTTCGACACCCCTAGAATAGACTGACAGAGATCAGATGGCAAGGGTGTAGGGGAGACTGGATAAAAGAAGGCAAAGAAAGTTGCCAAAGAACATATACACCTAGCCCACGGACACAGACAACAATGTGGTAAAGGCCAGGGGAAGGGGTAGACGGGGTTGGGAGAAGGTTGGTTAAGGATCAGGAAAAATAGGGGACATTTGTATAGTGTCAACAATAAAAATAAAACAAAACAAAAAACTAGAATTTTATCTCCCAAAATCTATCTATCTGTAATAATAAAAGGGTAATATGCTAATTAGACCAGACAACCTTCTGGACTAAATCACGGCGCCATGAGGGCCAAGGCAGAAGCAGCTGCTGCATCAGTGGAGACCAGGTCCCTTGCCTGACTTTTGTGAATCGGGCCTCTAGTTACTAGATGAAAGAGCTTGAGCCAGTGACTTAACATATTTTAGTGTCAGTTCCTTTATCTATTAAATGGATCTAATAACACCTGCCTTATAAAGAAGCTTTTCAAATTACAAAAAGCTCATTTATATAGAGTTATAGTAGATAGTAAGTAAGGAATAGCAGGGCAACTTCTCAAAATATGATCTACTTTTGTTTGTATCCAATAGTTTCAAGCTCAAATCTAAGGAGTTTTTATTTCCTTCCTTGTTCTACCTTAAAACTGACAATAGAGTAAGAAAATTGGAGATTATAACATACATGTGCCAAATTTTTAAATGTGCTCTTAGTTATTATAGATAGTAGGCAAAGAAGAAATTGTGAATATGTTGAAAAATATCTTACACTCTCAGAAATATGTTAGACACGATAACTGAAAATGTGCAACCCTGCTTTAAAAGACAGAATATTATACTTGTTTCTTTGAGAAAACTATCAATTCACTTAGTGTATTTTTGTGAGTCTTTGTTTAGCATGTTTTTGTTTGTTTGTTTGAATTTCTGGATATTTGGGGAAATACTGCCAGGTTTTCTCAATGAAATTGGAGATGGAAGATAATGCATATCAAAGCAAAAATTGCACTGCCAATGTTAATCAGGTAAGGAAGACTGTAGTCAAGATTATTGCTTGTCTCATTTTCAGTTCTTAAAAGTGCATTTCTACTATCACATGATCTCACTCATCTAGGGGAAATAATGAACAACATAAACTGATGAACAAAAACAGATCTGGAAACAGGAAAGCGTCGATCAGACTGTCAAACCCCAGAAGGAAGGTAGGGGAGGGTGGGGGTAAAGGGGAGAGATCCACCAAAGGACTTGTATGCATGCATATGAGCCTAACCAGTGGTCACAGATTACAGGGGGGGGGGGAGAGGGGGCATGTGTGGGGAGGGGTTTGGGATGAGAATGGGGGGATGAGGGCAAATATGTGATACCTTAATCAAAAAAGAAATTTAAAAAAATACTATAACAACAGGGGAGAAAGGCCAAAACTAAGTTTGAATTTAACTCCACTGAAACAGTGATAAGGTTTTGAGGGGTGCAGTGAACTAGTGGGTTTGCTAATTGGCTTTATATATTTTTAAAAATATATTTTTATTGATTTCAGAGAGGAAGAAGAGGGAGATAGAGATAGAAACATCAATGATGAGAGAGAATCATTGATCGGCTGCCTCCTGCATGCCCCACACTGGGAATGGAGCCTGCAATCTGGGCATGTCTCCTGACTGGGAATTGAACCGTGACCTCCTGGTACATAGGTCAACACTCAACCACTGAGCCATGCCTGCCTGGCTATATCTTTATAAAGGTATCTTCTCAAAGATAGGGGTGCTATCCCTTTAATAATTACACTTTAAAGAGATGGTTTCCAGTTTTCTGAGAAAGACATTTTCAGGTTGTGAAACTGGCTAGGGGCTTTATAAAAATATACAACCACTTCAAATAAGCAGAGAAGAAAATTTATAGTGAGAAAGAAACCCCTATTTGTAACAAACTGCTGTTTGGAATTTTCTGCTGTTATTCTTAGATAAAATGTTGCTTTCTAGTCTGCTTTAGCCTGTTTGAAGAATGATGATAATAAACTTAGCTGTATGACCTTGTAGGACGGAGACTAGATATGCCCATAATCTTAATGCCTTGCCAGATGCATTTATGTGCCCGCAACCAAGGTACACGCCCTTGACCGGAATCGAACCCGGGACCCTTCAGTCCGCAGGCCGACGCTCTATCCACTGAGCCAAACCGGTCCCAGCCAGATGCATTTTTTAATTGGATAGAATTGTATTGTTTTCAAGGCCAGCATCGAGATAACCACTAAATGCACATAGGGCTGGCTCTTTAATAAAAAGGGAAGTTCTGCTTGTAGTTTTGCTTAGAATTTGAAATCATTTTCTCTAAGCCCATCGCAGGATGAATAAACTGAGTCTCTCCAAACTCTCCTTCTGCATTGTTTGATTGTTCGGGAACTCTGCAACAATAGCTACAAGTTTTCTAAAGTAAATGCTTTCAGGAAAAGGAGATTAGGGACCTAGAGCCAGGAAAAAGCCTCTAAAATGTAGACATATTATGGAAACATTTGGCCTTCTTGGTCATGGAATTAAAGAGATGTACATTAGCAACTTCATTTTTACTTTCAACTTCTAAAAATGTAGTTAGGGAAATATGAAAAAAATTTAAGATTTGTTCAAGCTTTGAGATGTTGATTATATTATTCAACTATGGTCAGTATAGTATTAACTGTTCTGTATGCTAACAATATTACAAAATATTTAATATTATAATTTTTCATAACTTCAATAAAATGGGTAAGCACTCACCATATTCTGATATTCTATAATTATCAATAATTTATATAAAATTTACATTATATATAATTTGGTTACATGATATCTGGTAAAATTCATTTGAGTATTTGACATTTGGAAATAATACTATTAAAGGCAATTATGTTTTACACGCTTTCTATGCTCACTTGATACAATAAGCATTTATCAGCATAAGATGTTCAGAATAATAATGAGCTTTGACTTCTGTTTAAAATGACCAGCTGCATTAGCCCTAACAGGAGAGTGAGCCTGTCCTTCCAAGCTTTGAAGCCAGGAATTTACTTTTCCTCTCTAGAGCCCTGGATGGCATATTTTTGCAATATAAGGCTGTTTTGTAAATGTGTTGCTTAGCACAGCCACCTTCATTAATTACATTAGCTAGATCTTCTGGATAATTTGCTGCAGCTTCTACATCAGCACTTGCTGCTTTACCTTACCCTTTTATGTTTTGGAGATGGCTTCTTTTCCTAAACCTCATCAACCTCTGTTAGATTTCACTGTTTCTTCCTCAGCTTCCTCACCTCTCTCAGCCTTCACAGAATTGAAGAGAATTAGGGCCTTCCCTGGGTTAGGCTTTGGTTTAAGGGAAAGCTGTGGCTGGTCTGATCATCTCTCCAGACCACTAAGACTTTCTCCATATCAGCAATACGGCTGTTTCACTTTCCTGTCAGTCAGGGTTCACTGGAGTAGCATTTTTAATCTCCTTCAAGAACTTTTCCGTCACAAGAGGCCTAGCTTTCAGCCTACCTTGCCTTCCCACATGCCTTCCTCACTAAATCATTCCTAGCTTTTGATTTAAAGTGAGATGTGACTCTTCCTTTTACTTGAATGCATTGAGGCCATTGTAGGGTTATTTACAATGCTGTTGTGTCTCAGAAAACAAGGAGGCCGAGGAGAGGGAGAGAGATGGGGGAAAGTCAGTCAGTGGAGCAGTCAGAAAAAAAAACCACAAAATTTCTCCATTGAGTTTGATATCTTCTATGGGTGTAGCTCATGGCACCCCAACACAATCACAATGGTAACAACGAAGATCGCTGATCCCAGATAGCCCTAACACATATCATAATAATTTCAAAAGCTTACAATATGGTAAGAAGTACTAAAATGTGACACAGAAACACACAGTGAACAGATTTCGTTGGAAAATTTGACTTGCCCGGTACAGGTTTGCTACAAACCTTCAATTTGTAAGAAACGTTATTATCTGCAAAGCGCAACACAGTGCAGTGCGATCAAACAACGTCTGCCTACGACGGTGATGAGCAGTTGGTGTTAGCATGCAGCAGCTATCA